AAAAATGAGCTCTTTGTTTTGTGCTATTTGCAAGTCAGACTCTTGACAACAACAAAAAATGCATAAAGTATAAATATTGCAAAGCAGCTTATAAAAGTAGAAAGTATACTTTAATAGATATTACTGCTTGTTTGTCACTAACAGCTGGGAGTTCATTACTCGTGCTTCCCATTCCTAGTTAGCATGACTTAAAATTCTGAAAAATAGCAATTCCAGCTTATCAGGTGCCTACCAGATTTGGGAGACTTATTCTATAACCACCATTATTCACTGAAGATACAGTTATCTCATATAGTTTAATAGCTTATAATTAAATACACCATAGAATTCAACAGAGAAAAAAACCATAAGAGATGGAATAGATGCACATATCTGAAAGGTTCTGGTGTTTTAGTATATTTCAAGCTCAAGCTCAGCCAGAAATTTGATGCAGCTGCAGTCAGTGGCTATAGTCAGTGAAACTATGCACTATTGTGTACATCATAGCAATTAAATGGTTCTGCTCCATTTTCTTCTAAATGTGATACTCTCTTTCCTTCTGCCCACCACATTTTAAGGACATTGACAAATGTGTGTGTAGAGAACAGCAAAAGTGATGAGGAATCTGGAAATCAAGTCCTATGAGAAACAATTGAAACTGAAGACTTGAATTTGTTTAGTCTGGGGGAAAGGAGAATTATGATAATGATCTTCAGATATCTGAAAGGCTGTCAATGCTAAAGATGACTAGATTTATTCTCTATTACTCCAGAGGATAAGACCAGTATCAATTGCAGGGAAGCAATTGGGAGAATTTTGACAAAGATGTTAACTGGAATTTGCTTTGTAATTGCCACACTAAATACAGGAGTTTGTTAATACTGTTAAGTGTGCATATTTTATTACCGTAATCTACTGCAATAAATGTGTTTTAATTGGTTCTACAAGGTACCTTCTACAATACTTGCACACACATAAACACATACATATACTTCTTTATTTTTTATTTAGGCAAGGAGAAAAATGCATGCAATAATACAAATTGTTTGATCATATTAAAGTGATTAACAGAAACTCCTATCAGCTTGCATGAAAACAGAGGCTCTGGCTGGAGGGGGGCTCAGGATGGTCTGTAAATCAGGCAGATTGATAGTTCATGAGACTTTATCTGTAGCAGACCCACAAATAATGAAGATCTTAAAAGAAAATAATAGTTATTGGCATGATCCTCTAAAACAGATATAATTGGTAATTCTTGTGTTACAGCAGGGGTGAAATGCTACTGGTTTGGGCTGGTTCGCCCGAACCAGTAGTAAAAATGCTACTGGTTTGCCCCAAAAAATGCTTTAAAAAGTAAAAAAAAAGTTGGCCACGGCCACCCTGTCACATGACACTTCCATCAAGCCATACCCATAGAACCAGTAGGGAAATTTTTTTAATTTCATCATTGTGTTACAGTCCTCTAGTGGAATGACATAATGATACATAGAATGAGCATAAGTAAACTTTTGATAGTACGTTTGGATTTTAGATGAATCTTGACAGAACTGTACATTTCTAGGACAGCTTTCCAAAACCTGATAGTCTCTGAATGTATTACTGTTTATTATTAAACTTCTATATCATCTACCTTGCTGAGGTTACTCTAGCCGGCTTTCATCTATGCAATACTACATAAAACACTAAATTAAGTAACAACTATATAATTAAAATTCAGTTACAATTCAATTAACCAAGATAGACATGAAGGGTGCAAGATGTGCAAGAAGTGGAGATGGGGTCTGACTAATCGATTAACCACCTCAAAGATGTCATTTCCCCATTGGGGCCCTAGCCCAGCTGGCACAACCAGGTCTTGAAATCCTTTCAAAAGGCTAGAAGAGAAGGTGTTGATCTTATAATGGAGAAGTGGGGGCCCAAAGGGCAGGTGCCATGGCAGAAAAGGCTCTTCTGCATCCCACCAGCCCAAATTCCTTGACCAATGATGTTTCCTCTGTTGATGCAGGTGGGACAGGATAATCCCATCAGATTATTGGAACTACAACTCCAGAATGAAGAGCTATACATCTTGGTCAAGGTATAATTTTTCTGTTTCAGCTGCTATTTTTTCCAGGTTCCTATTATAAATGTGGTGTTTTTATGCATTTTTATATTTATTACATACAGTACATCAGTCACATGATTCCATTAGTTACTTCTAATAATGGAAAGTTCAGGATGGTTTTTTGTGATAGGGATCAAACAGAGCTTCTCTGTATGATAGCATTTTTAAAACACATTTTCTACATCAAGGACTGTGCTAAAGTTGCAAAGTGCGCACCAATACCATGTCAGACACAGGGAATTTGAAAATTAGAGTAAGGAGTGGAGGTGAAAAAGCTGGAACTGGAATACAAGGTTGGGATAGGACTACCTATCAGTCCCATGAAATATAGGATATTCAATATCATGTAATAAGGTATCTAGGAACAAAGTATTAATAGTACCCGTGTTTCCCTGAAAATAAGACAGGATCTTATTTTCTTGTTACGCCAAAAATAAGCGTTTGGCCTTATTTTTGGGGAGGTTTTATTATTTTTGAGGTGCAGGAGGCAGCAAACGTGGTTACCTCATGGCTGCTTCTGTGTTAGAAAATTTTCAAGGAGGGCTTATTTCAGCGCTTGCGCTCAAAAGCCCAATTGGGCATATTATCCCAGGAGGTCTTATTTTCAGGGAAACAGGGTGAAACATGACTTTGGCATTTCCATTCCCCCCATCAAAAACTCAGGTAACAAATACAATAGTTATTGTTTAGACCAGCCTGCATGACATGCAACCTACCCAGCAATATGACCAGTGATGAAATTCAAACTTTTTACTACCAGTTCTGTGGCATGGCTTGGTGGGCATGGCAGGGGAAGGATACTGCAAAATCTCCATTCCCACCCTACTCTGAGGCCAGTCAGAAGTGGTATTTGCCAGTTCTCCAAACTACTCAAAATTTCTGCTACTGGTTCTTCAGAACCTGTCAGAATCTGCTGAATTTCACCCCTGAATATGACCCACTGGTGTTTATTGAAAAATAACCAATCATCACCACCACCAGGAAAGATCTGTGCCTAGGTTTTTGCGATCACTTCCACTTTGAAGATGCACTGCCAAGTGTCACCAAGCATCACAGTCGATGGCAGTTCCATCATTGCCTACTGGGCTGGTAGTTTTGGCCAGCAATTCCTTTGTAATCCACAATTATTTTTCAAGGTATTAATCCTATCCCTTCTACAGTATACGCAGCCTTGTTTTAGACTCTTCACATCTCAGATCACAACTTCAGTCAAAAAGACAGCAATTTGATAATCTGAGGTGCCTCGAAGCCTAAATATAAATGATTTTAGATGGCTGGGAATGGGGAATTGACCACATTAAAAAATGTGAATAGCTTACATATTGCTTTTTAAAAAGACAACAACAAACCTGTTATTTGTTCTAGCAAAAATGTTTTCAAAATCAGAGCTTAATGTGTCTAGGATGCATAAAAACAGATAATTACCCCAAGATTGGCTAGAATGTATAAGGTACTTTTGTTGGAAATGAGGACAACGTGAAGGGTAATTTTATCATGCCTAGACTTTAGAAGTTAAAATTTCTGGGTTGAAATGCATATATCAAGAATTTTAAACATCAAAGAATTTTAAACATCAACATTTGACTGAATGCAGAACTTTTCTTGCTAGATTAATGATAGTAAATTAGAAAAGAGCCATGGAAGATTATTTTTATATATGGATTACTGCTGTCAACCTTTTATATGCACAAAAATAGAAAGACTGAAATATCCACAATGGAAGAATAGTTGGTGAAGATGACATAGTAACAGATGACATTTAAAAAAAAAATTCAATTACATTTATTAGTGATTGGAAACCCCTTATGGACTTTTCACTGAAAAAAAAAGAGAGAAGTGAATTTGTGAACTATGGTTCACAAGATTAGAAACAGTAGCTTATGGAAAGAAAGAAACTTAGAGACAGCAAAATATAAATGTATCTAAAACCACTATCAAGATCAGAAGATCTTTCTGTATAATTGTTCATTTCTACTTCTTTTTCTATTTTCACTATTGTTTATATTTCTTTATTTTAAAAAATTCTTTAATAAAAATGATTAAAAACTTTTCTACACAAGTCTTAAATATAATGTGAAAAAACGTGCAAACAATACGTTTCAACAAAAGCCAAGTTTTGCTGGTTTGGAGAGAATAGAACCAATCATCTTACTTAAAGTTGATAAATACCAGACATGGACAATAAAGTAGTGTTTTCCAATCTTGGAATTCTTTTCCAGAATTGCTGGCTGGAGAGTTCTGGGAGTTGAAATCCACACATCATAAAGTTGCCAAGTTTGAAAACAGCTGCAGCTATCTTCGCTTCCGTCCCCCCACCCCCACCCCAAACTATGGCTTTTATTATTAAATAAATGCAAGAACCTTAATACGGCATCAAGAAACGTTAACCTTTAAAAATAATGGTAACGTAATGGAAACACATATGATCAAAAAGGGATCGGGATACAAATTCTAAACCAGGTCTTCAACTTGGCAACTTTAAGACTTGTGGACTTCAACTCCCAGAATTCTCCAGCCAGCTCTGCTGACTGGAGAATTCTGGGACTTGAAGTCCACAAGTCTTAAAAGTTGCCAAGTTTGGGGAGCCCTGTTCTAAAACTTGCAAAATATGATCAATAAAAACAGGAGATCTTGAAGCTGCTGCATTCTTTAAACGGGCGTAGGGAAAAGCTAAAGAGACTACCTGGTAGTTCACTCTAATCTTGTTGGAGACACGGGAGAGAAAGGGAGAAGGCGGGACACGAAACACGCCACTGCGCCCCACAAAAATACACCCGTGAAGCACGCCCCCTTCCCCACTCTCCCTCCGCTTCATTCTTCTTCCACCTCCCCGCCCCCTGGCGTCCCTCCCCCTTACGTCATTTCCTGGGCGGCCATCTTGGAGGCCTGGCTATCCTATCGGGCTCCATTGGATTTCGGGGGGTGGGTGGGGATTCGTGCCGGATCTACCTCGGCTGGCATCGGCAGGGACGGGGCTGCCTTTGGGGCGCTCGGCTAAAGTCGCTGGCGGCCGCCATTCGCGCATCGCAGCGCCTATCTGACCGTCGCTATGTCGGATTTCGACAGCAACCCTTTCGCGGACCCAGACCTTAACAACCCTTTCAAGGTAAGGAGGGAGGGAGGGAAGGAGATGCGGACAGGAGGGGACGAGCCCCCGGCTGTCTCGGCTGAGTCGCCGCTTGGAGCACGCCGAGTTGGAGCGGGACCGTTCGTTATTCGTTACTCTCACGGCTGGCGGACATACTTGCTAACTCTACCTTCGACGGGGGCGGAGGCGTCCTGTTCCGCCCCGCTTTCTTCCACCCTTTTGCGGGATACGGGGATCTCGCCGGGCTCGATCTTTGGCCTCCCAAGGAAGCTCCATTTGGGAACCTGCTCTTGTTTCCCTGCCTTTCTTGGAGGAGGAGGCTGCCTGGTTGTATGAGCGACGTTCTGCCCTCGAAAGGGCTTGTAGAGGAGGGGTGGACAGGTGCGCGGAGGAGTGTAGGGCTGGGATGCTCCAGTGGTTTCCTTCTCCCAGAAGAGTGCTGCCCTCTGTAGTCAGGTGCTTGCCGTCGCTTGTAACGTCGTCTGCCTCCCCATCTCCTGTCTAGGAAAAGTCAATGATGGAAAGAAACAGTTGAGTTGATGACTGGTACTTTTTAAATGGCTTATGAATTGCTTGGGGAGATAGCCAAATGTGCCTGCCAGTATTGAGTTCCTTAAAAAGCAAAGGCAGCTGAATTGACAGGGGAGGGGAAGGGAGGGTAAAAAGATTATATCAAGATAATCGCTTTGTAAGGTCAGCTGGAGGATTATCAAATTTTAGAATAGAATAGAATAACAGAGTTGGAAGGGACCTTGGAGGTCTTCTAGTTCAACCCCCTGCTTAGGCAGGAAACCCTAAACCATTTCAGACAAATAGCAGCAGTCCTTTTTCTAGCTGGTCAGCTTTGATCTTACACACTTCTGCCATTTCCAATATACTTCTCTGTTGGTTGTCAGTAGGTTTTAATCGCTTTTTTTCCCCTTCAGCATGCTTCTTTGAACTGTGCCTTACAGCTCCCTTCAGCATTACAAACAATGCCTAATCCAAGTCAAGATTACGCCCTCTCTGGCCTTTGATCTTGATCTTGTATTCTGATTGGTTGTCAGACTCCCATGGGCCCATGCAGGGGCAACTCTCTGTGTTTTGAATCCAGGTTTGGTTGAGTTCTCAGATGCCATGTGGTGAGTGAGTAAAGGCTGATCATGCCTTAATCCCATCACCTTGGAGCTGAAGGGGAGAAGTCTTTATTATGTAAAGGGACTGGCTTGGGCATCTTAATGGCCTATTGACAAAGGGGGATGGGCAGGAAGCTGCAGGGAGCTACTCTGTCTTTAAAACATGTTTCTTCCTTTTTCACATCCAGGGAAATATTCTTCCTTTTCAATATTTCCCAGGATATTTCATTTTTCTGGGAGGGGGCTGGGTGATAACTTCCTACAGTTTCTTTCTAGTAACTCGAGGCCGCAAACATACCCAATACTTCTTCCTCCAGTTTTCTCCCAACAACAATCCTGTGAGGTGATTTGGACTGAGAGAGAGAGAAAGAGAAAGAGAGGAATGAAGGAAGAAAGGGAAATGAAAAAAGGGAAATGAAAAAAGGAAGAAAGAAAGAAGACTTTCAATTGGCTGGAAGAGATAGCTTAATGTTGCACTGTGGAAAGCATTGGTTACAGACACTATTAAGAAGCCAAAAATAAATCGCTAACGCTGTAATGTTTTTGTAAAAATCGGTGGTGTAACCACACTTTGAAATATCATGTACAATTCTGAGGCTAAGAAAATACTGTAGAGCAGGAAAAGTGCAAGAAAGTGCAATCAGAATAATCAAGGGACTTGAAGTCATTTGGGAAGTATCACACTTTTTTTTAGTTGGAGAAAGCGATACTTAAGCAAGTACTGTAATGAAAAAAAAATGCATAGGATGATATATGGCTCAGGACAGGTAAAAAGAACCTGTACCTTACAATGTGTATTTAAACTAATAAATTTATTCTTTTGAATGTAATGGTAGTCTGTTTATTAGACAAATTATTGATCCTAACTCATGATCCTAAATATTACTTCTAATTAGGGCTGGAGTAGCAGTCATCATCCCATGTTTTGCAGTCCACATCTGGAAGTCTTCCTTTCAGTATCATAAGCAATCTACTGTACTTCATAGTTCATTTGCTAGCAGGAAGGTGCTATTTTCTTATTTGTGGACTTTCTTCAGATATCTATATTGGCTGTTTGAGGAAAATGCTAGATTAAGTAAGCATTTAATTTTATCCACCCTGGTTTCTCTTATGTTTTCTCTTCCGTTCAAAATTGTCAAAAGGGCTTTAAACTAATGGCAGTGCTAAAGTTTCTAAAGAAAATATAATAGTTTCTAGATGCCATTAATTAATAGTAAATGAAGAGAATTTCTGGTTAATACCTGCTTTGTTCTAAATTATTATCTTAAATACTTACAGTATTTATTAAAAATGTAGTGCTTAGGATTTGTCAAGTTGGAAGAAAAATCTAGAGTAACCTAGAGAACCTCAGAATAGTAGTAAGCAAATTGCTTTCCTGGAATATGTTAGCATTTCTAGTTGTAAATTTATTACACACGGACTTCAAAATTCATTTTCCTCAGTAATTCCTACAAGTATATTTTCATATTTAGTGAATTAGATTTGCATAATCTATCTGGCTCCTGAACTTTTAGTCTGTTAATCTCCTTAGACATTTAGTCTGTTTATACTTTCATCATTTAGGCAATTGTTTATTTTCATGGTGGATGTACCATGTATCAATTTTAGTGAAAGTTATCTAAACTCAACCTTATGTATTTCTTTTCAAAATATATTGAAATGGTTTAAAATTCATTACCTTATTGATTCTCTCCATTCAGAGAATCTGATTAAGCTTAGCTAGAACTGATGTCTGAAGGAAGACAGCTACTATTAAGCCAGCTTGAATTTCTAATGGGCTAGATTTTAAATTCCTGAAGTATGGCCTCACCCAATTTAAGATGTCTATGCCTATATCATAACCAGTTTTTGTTTTATCAATGGCTGTCAGTCATATCAGGTAGGCCAGAGAGGAAATATGACCAGATAAGCTAATTTTACTTTATTGTAAACCTACATTAACATTAATTTGAAAATACAATTCTCCAACCTAGCTGGAGAAATAAGAGAAGATCCCTTCTGAGCCTCTTGTCTCACTCACTGTCTAGCTGCAGGCTATGTTATCTCTTATCTGATCATTCCTGAGGCAGCATTTCTTTGCCACCTCTCCCAAGGATTTTACTATCTACCATTACAATGGCCACTATGTATAGATAAGTATAATGATCTCTGCATACTATATTTCATCTCTCTCTGACCTTTCGCTAACTTCTGTGTCTTCTTTTACTTCATAGATGCATATATTTTTCTCAGTGCATCTAATGAAGTGACTTGTAATTCCTGAAGCCTTCTTCTGTAATAAATGTTTAGTCTTTAAGATCCTATGTACTTTTTTGAAAGGTCATACTATCTTGGTAATTTCTGAGCTTTCAGCTGTTAGAGCTTACTCTGTTGCAGTATCTGTCCTCTAGTGAATTTGCTGGAAGCCTCCAATAGTAGATTTCAAGGATTAAGGTAAGATGTTCTTGGGAATATTAAATACATTTGTACAAGGTAAAATTATCAGATTACATAATGAGCCCAACTTTTTAACTAGACTGAGGCTTTTTCCTTCCTAATTTGTCAACTTTAGACCTTAAGGCACCTCCTCGCCTCTCTGTTTTCTCTTTTCCTTCTTCTTTGCAATGTGGTAGTGCCAGGAGCATCTTCTCCCTCTCATCCTCTGAGTGTAAGAAACATTGAATGGCATCTTATCTCTCTGTTGGCAAGAGTGGACAACACAAGTTTCTTAACTTTGCCTCCCTCCTGCTTGGGGATGTGGGTAGGGGGGATATTTCCATTTTTTTGGTGGAAATTGGAGTGATTTCCAGCGTTCCCCCCCCTCTCCTTCCTAATAGAAGAAAGAAAAAAGGGGGACAATTTTCAATTCCATTTTTTTTATTTTCAACTTTTTTCAGTAGAGAACTTTCTCCCTTCCTGGACATCCCTTCCAATGAATAAGATGTTCCATTGTGTCTCTTCTGAGACAGATGTGTACCATATTTCCATTTAAATTCTTCTATCCCCAATCCCAAGATTGGGCTTGCTGTTGTAATATACAAGGGGGAGGGTGACTAATGACTGGGGTTGGAAATAATGGAGACCTTGAGCATGGATGAAAGTTGTGTTGGGATTTGTCTATGCAAGTAGTCTAAAATGTTCCACTAGGCATCCAGCTTCTTAGCTGAGGTGAGACGAGAAATCGGGTAGAATCAAATCACATTTGAAAGCTACTGTAAATGTGATAGGAGACCTTCACAGTGATGCAACAGAAAACTTGCAGTGTTTTGGCGCTATCTAGCTCTTCTTTAAGGAGATCCTGAGGAGGCCATTCAAATAACTTACAACTGGGATAAATTTGATAGCAGGCGTGACAGTGATCTGAAACAGTGACATCTGAATAGAGGCATTTTGAAAGCAAATTTAGCTGTAGTTAAAAGCAGTTGTCATGCAAGAATGAAATTAATACTCTTAAGGTAGTATGTCCTCTTGATTTCTCCAGAAGATAGATGTAATATAGGTGGAGCTTAATGTCCAATAATTGAAACAGCTTTCCAGAATTGTGCTGCTAATTGTATGCCTCTGAAAAATATAAGATAATTGGGCAGGCTTAGTTCTAGATTCTGGAAAACCTACTGAACAAATAGATGAGCTGTCTCAGGGACAGCAGGAGACTATGGTGGATTAAATTGAGATATCTTAAAAAAATAATAGCCTGCACTGTCAGAATAATATCCGGGCAGCTGATACATGGTAGGTCAGCAATAAATGTTCAGGGAAATTATATCCTGTGATCTCTCTACAGAGGGGAAGGAATGCATTACTCTGGCTGGTTTGTCAGTGAAAGGTTTGGCATGGCAACGAGTGTGGTAAGAAGAAACCCAAGACTTGATATCTTCTCCAGTACAATACAAAACATCACAGAGAAGGATATGGGAATTTGAA